TCCCATAATGCTCTGCGCGGGGAGGAGCAGGAGGGAGGAGGAGGGGAGGAGCAGGAAGGAGGAGGAGGGGACAGAGAAGGGAAGTGGGATGAGGAGGGAGGGGGAAGAGAGAGGAGGAGGAGAGGAGGGGAGGAACTTGAAGGGTGAGGAGGGGAGGAGGAAGAGAAGAGTAGCAGGAAGGATGCGGAGGTGAGGAGGGGGAGGAGTGGTATACCCTCCCCTCAGTACCCTTCCCTCCTCCCCTCAAGAGCTGCGCTCTAATTCGGCGTTAGAGGGTGTTGCAAACGTCTTTTTTGTCCTTGTGTGAGTTTAGTGTACGGGAGGTGGTAGGGCGGAAGTGGTATATCAGCGTCGCAGAGCCTCATCATGCCCCTTTCTTTAAGTCCGCTAGAGCAGTGGTTCTCAAATGGGGGTCCGCGGACCTTTTGGGGTCTGAGACGTCATTCTAGGGGTCCGCGAAGCCCATGGCCTCATCAGTCAAGCCCGGCAATAAAACTTGTCTTTTCTTAGATGTTGAAGAAAAGTTCCAATTTTCGGGTGAGTTTTCTCGTGTATATGTCGATAGGAGAAGTCTACATCACACTATATCACTTAGTTATATCCATTTATTAAATCACTATCATAATTAACCTCTCTTTCCTTCACCACAAATGGGGTCCTCCGTCATCTCTGCCCATCCACAAGGGGTCCGCGAAACATCAATGGCCGAGAACCACTGCGCTAAAGGAAGTGGAGACACGGCGGAACATGTTGAGAACCTGTTCGCCTTGTTTGAAGAGATTATTAACATGGTTGAGCCACCGCCATCACGCTGGAAGTAGAGTCCTAAAAGACGGATGTTGTTAGACTGTGGGAGGGGGCACTTTGTTGTTCAAGGTGAATCTGTTCCGGTTTCCAGCGCGGATTGTGAACTAGAAGGAGTTCCGAATTAGCGGGAGCACATTGCAGGTCTATGTGGTTGGCGGCTTGTTGGATGCTGTTGAGAGCGTGTTGAAGCGTATCCTGTATGTGTCCTTTGAGCTTCGATTTAACCAGAAGGTGATATAGTCGGCGTATATAGTGTAGTGTATGTCTGGTGTGGGAGCTAGCCCTCGATGTATATGGTACATGGCGAGATTGAAAAATAGTAGGTGAGAGTACTGAGCCTTGTGGAGTGCCGCGTTGTGGATGGTCGAAGGTAGTGGATGTGATTCCACCTAAACTGAGGGAGTATGTGCGTCCGTGAAGGAAGCATCGGACGAAACCGATGCGACTGGCTGTTGATGTCGAGGCTACGGTGATTGCGGCCGCCGAAGCCTATGGTGGAGGCTACGCCATCAGTGTGCTCAACCTCGTCGTCGCACTGTGCAGCTGCGCAGCGGAAGAACCCATAGGGAAGAACCGACTCTTTTGTTTCGACATCTATTTACGGCGTTGTTTCAGAAGCCTCTATCCTAGATGCCAACTTCTTTGTCTTCGTCGTCTTCGCCTTCGTCGTCTTTCAGAGGTCTTCGTCGGGACGAAGACATCTCGACCAACTGAGGACGTCCTCAGGACCATCAGCGTTGTCTTAGCAGTTGTGTGGCCTATGGTGCATGGACCGCCGAAAACTGAAAGCAGGGGATACTGATCCTTTCGATGCTGTTTCCGTGTATCTATTCTTAGCCACCAGAGCTAAACACAGTTTCAGAACACCCAGACTTTACTGTTTCCGTTGTTATTTATTGTTTCTAGATTTAAAATAATCACTGAAAGAAACGGCAAAAAAAAATATGCGATGCCAAAACCAACATTTAAGTCTCCCCGAGCTCTCCAGTGGGTGGCCTCGCATGTCGTATAAATCGCAAGTCAATCACGCAGTCTGGAGAATACAGTATTGTGTGTCTTTTTGTTTTGCTGGCATGAGGTTCCCCATAATTCATTTCAGACCAGCAAACGCCATGTTACCAGACGGGAACGAGCCCTTACTGCCTCCATAAGTACAGCGCTGCGTCATTATTCGCCTAGGACTCTTGTTCCAGTGAAAACATGATTCTCAAACCATAGCCTCCTGCATACCGATAATGCCTGCCCCATCGCAAGTTTCCAGCCTCAAGGGTGTGCCACTTTCCCATACTGTTCAAGACAGAAAACGTAAACAATGTGACAAAGCCTCTCTCGTACGTTCTCGCATTCTTGGTGTCATTTTGGGCGTTTGGCGTGGTAGCCGTGGGTCGTACTTATGCAGTTAATTATTTTTCTGTTTTGACCACGCTTTTTTTTTTAACTTGTTTTAGGCTGGCTCACCAAAAAAAAAAAAAAAAAGGTCAGGGTTGTCATTTCCTGAGACCCCAGGCATCAATTGGGAGCACGAAAAGTTACCAAGCTAATTTCGAAAACATACTGCGTCCCAAATTCTATCTCCTGCTACCCAAGAGAATCCAGAAGGCACCTTTTCTCGACGGATAGTAACGAAGGCCTGTCTATACAGGCCTTACTCAGCGTCTGTTCGAGTGATGCCTCAGCACGCTGCTGATGAGGCTTCACCAAAAGCCCAGCTGAGCTTGGTTCGGGTGTCCCAGTTGCCAAATCTGGATCAGCCCATGTATAACGTTCCACAACCTAGCTCTTTCGGTACTGCTTGACTGGCTCACCTGCCCAGCAGGGGCTTCCCAAGGAATTAAAATTAGGGGGGGTCTAAATATTTATGGGGGGGGGGGGGGGGTAGGGAGGGGCATTGAAAATAGAGGGCTCGTTGCGAATTAAAGAGGTGCCTTCAGAAAAACAAGAAGGGGTGTACACCTCCCCCCCCCCCCCCCCCCCTAGGGGGTGTGTAGTGAAATGACTGCTCCCCAGCTCTCTTCCGCGCGCCTCGAGCCATAGTGACAGGTACCTGATGACAGACAAAATACGTCATATACGAAATGTGAATCCCGCACTACTAAGACCTTCCACACTGATTAGGGGATATTGCAGCGGTTGTAACCCCCAAAGAACCTGGCCGTCGCAATTTCTCTTCATCTCCTGATTTTCGCCTAATCCTTTGCTTTAGCGATAACAACTGTCAATGTTCCCTGTTTCGACATTGAGAAAGTTTAGCAGCTCGTCCGTCTCACCTATAATTCGTGTTGGGTCATACCTACTGCTTCCTACATTTATTCACTCTTAAAAAATACATATGTTGCTGCTCACCCGCTATGAAATATGCGTTCCGGAAGTACTGGAATACGCCCGTTGAGGTAGTAGCAGTTCGCAGCAGACAATTATTGCCTTCATTGTATGAGAGGTGGTGCCACTGGCGGTGACTGTGTGAAACAGGCGCAACGGCATTCAAGCACGAGGAAGCCTGAAATTTGTCTGGTCTTGTTTTCTTTCGGACTGTGTCCGAAATAAAGGCCAGTACAAAAGGCTGTCAAGCCTGACGAGGCTCTTGTCATTACAGTTCAGTATACAAAACAATGTTCCGCCAAACGCCACGACAAACAAAATACTCAGAAAAACGCTTAGAAACAGACGATATAACGAAGTACATAACAAGGTATGATTATACAATATCCTCATGTAAAACACGGGAATCTGCACGAAAAATGAAATATAACCTAGATTGAGGAACAAACAACCATAACAAATATTTGTTACAGTCTAAAGTAAATTTGGTTTATTGAAAGTGTATATCGTTGCCCACCAGCAATGTCCTGCACTGTTTTCTTTTTTAAATATTGGGAAAGATTGTTTATAGTTTATACTTATAGTCTAGCAGTTCATATTCCATAGTCTAGTGGTTCATAGTCTAGTTTCTTTTTCAATATTGCGCATCCATTGTCGGTATAAAGGAGGTAATGCTCAAGCGAACGTCACCGAAGCGTTCGTGTCCAACCTTGACGTCAAATGGATGACATAGGGAATCCGGCGGTCTACCCATACTCCGTTTCACACGAAGTCCGACTGCAGCGAAATCGATGATTCTATGGAATGACTGTCGAGACCGGCTATAACGAAGTCAGTTATAACGAAATAGCGGCTACAGCGAAGCGATCACCATTTCCCATTCCCTTCTGCACTTCGTTATAACCGAAGTCGGTTATAACGAAATAGTGGATATGGCAAAGTGATTCCCGCTTCTTGCTGACTTCATTATAACCGATCTCGACAGTATAAGCGGAGAGGGAAGGGAGACGCCACAGCATGTCGTTATGGGCTCACGCGGAGAGGCTGACTTTCTCGCGGCCCTGGGATTGAATGAAAACGGTGGAACAAAACGTTTTCATGAAGTAGGGCTTAGTAAAAAACGAATCGAGAGATGGTGGCTAAGTCGACAGACATATACATGTTACGTCGGATCAAACAGGCTTAAAGGAACACTGAGAGCTCGACACCTGTACTCATTTACTTCCTTAGACGCTCCGAAATGATTTAATAATCCCCCCCCCCCCCCCAAAAAAAAAATGCAATGCGAAAAAAAAAAATTAACGCGTAAACGTACTTTTTAAGAAGGCGAGCCCTGCTCTCCTACCAAACGCCTCCTTGCGATCGCTTGTCTAATCACGTGCCGCGACGTCATCGAAGGTTGAATGTTCGTAACTCTTGATGTTGCAAAATGGAATTTTTTAACGACGTGCGTGAAACATATTTTGTACGGGCGTGACCGGCGCACGACGTTGCCGTGTTCCTAAATTATGCTGCCCTCGATAAGAGGGGCACAGAAAAATAAAAACAACAGAAAATGTTTTACGTTTAATTTGACTTTACCAATAAGCACGGAAACTTCAAACTCGCTTTCTGAACATATTTGCTTCCTCTGTGAATGCGTTGTTTCCAGGGTTCGAATTTTGAGCGCGATGTCTAAGTAATATTCCCAGCCGTCTGGTCAATTGAACAAAACTTAATTTTGAAATGTTAATGCCCCTTTAAACATTGTTTAATTTAAAGAAAAATAAAACAATTGGCTAGGCTGTGCAAGTCATCGTCCGATTCAAAAGGAACAGCCGCCATGCATCCCTCTATCCATCTATCTATCCAGCCACCCACCCAGGTCCATTTCGACCAGGAAGACAAAACCTATATGGAATCATGTCCCCGTAAGATGGACTCCAGGTATCAGAGACCGTTGAGTAATGGGAAGCACTGGGGATGTTCTTTGTAGAGTCCGCTATCCTGCAGGACGCCGTCAGGGGCGCACATCCAGGGGTCGTGGGTGATCTGCTGCCATTTGAGGAGCTGGGTCTGGAGCGCCTCTAAGACGGCCGAGTGGACGGGGTCTTTGGCGAGGTTCACCGCTTCCCTCGGGTCGTGGTCGAGGTCGAACAACTCCCACTGGTCCCTGTAGTAGTAACACCGCAGGGTCTTGGTCCAGGGCAGGGGCCTCCCTTCGCGCGTTCGGTTGAGGATGTCCTGAAAGCGATCAATACCCAGGTTTGGATTGTTTCATCACACTAAACTGAAATGTTGATAGGCACTGATTTGCCTCAAAATTAGTTCAAAACGTTAATAGATCTCAACTAGTACCCGAAGTTACAGGTCACAATAATTTTTGTTTTTCTGACAAAGTCATGGCATATTAAGGTTTGGACTGAGAGGCTGAGAAGCTCTACTGGACACCCTGAAAAAGTAATGTAAGGCGTTGGAATATCCGTACAGCTTTTTCCCGACAGTATACAAGAACTTTGATGGTGTGAACTGAATGCTGGTTAAGCTTACGCCAACAAAAATAAAATAAAACAAAAAAACATTTTTTTTATTGGTTTAGGAGAGCCACGGCACCGCAGAAAGGCAGCAGCCCGTATCATGGAGGCCCTTGATACCGCCACGTGCAAAATATTGTGTTTTTCAGGCTGCCCGCTCGACTTGCGGGTTAAGCCCCATTAACGTACGTCATCCCATCGAAGAGCGCGGGAAAATACGAATTTTGGTTTTGACATCACCTTAATTTTTTCCTTTTCTCGATAAGTATCTTTAATTCAGAGATAATGCATAGCATTTTGTGAATAGCAAACCCTGACTATTCCGAAGATGTGTTGAGTTTGCGGAGGTCAAGAGGCCGCCGGAGCTCCCCTTTACGGAGCTACCCAAACGAACTACATTTTCGGAAGACTCCTGATTTACTCTTCTCGGCGTGCTATCTATTATCTCTTAATTCAGGAGAGTTATGAGGAAACGGCAGATGGTGGTTTTGCCAAAGCCAATGTTCGAACTTCCGCGCGTTTTCCCGTGGGGTGCATTCACTTATGTCAACATAACAATCGAATAGGCACTAAAACAAAAAAAGGGTGCCGCACCTTTTTTTATCCGTGGAAGTGAGCATTTATAGAAAATATTTCGCACTACAAATATTTTTGCAATCCGCCGTCGGTGTGTCCCGTAAGAACCTTATGTTAAAAAAAGTTAAAACCAAATTAACAAAAAAAAAAAAAAAAATTCGCGCTTCCCCCCCCCCCCCCCGTTCCCGAAATCTTCCATTTGGCTAGGGCCTCCTCTCCCCCCTCCTCTTCATACAGCAATTTGTCATGGGCGCCCCCCCCCCCCCCCCCCCCCCCCCGGAAACAAAATCCCGGCTACGTGCCGGCTAATGACATTGCCAGTGGCAGAACCGGTAGTAGGAAACAAAACTATTGATCTTTCAATACCTGGTCTCATGCAAGATTCGCAATCATAAGTGCTAATGACATTGCCAGTGGAAGCACCGAACATCAAAAGTGGGCATTCAATTTATCAGCAAGCTTAGCCCTTGTACTGCACATGCCTTCAATTATAAGCTCAGAAATACATTTTCTTTCGTTTTTAGAAGGTAGGTTGTTTACATTTGTTCCACACTTTTCTCGGGTTATTATACATATCTGCGAACTTACTTTCAGGATACACATTTCGTGCTCGTTTATTATCAATGCCCAGTTTATTATTATTTTTTTTAAATTCAGCTAGACAATCCGGATGTGTTGTTTTTATAAAAAGGGCGAATAGCTTGTCTCGTTGTCTTATTCTTTTTAGAAGTGCGGCATTAATCTAAGCCTTTCTTGATTTCCTGCTCCTTTTTAATGGCACCATTGGAAATGCTTGATGATAAAATTCCTTGATTCTTGTTAAAAGAGGTTGTGTGCTGCAATGGGATCATCCAACCGAACAACGAAGCTCCAGTTCTCCTCCTCGACTAAACTTTGAAACAACATAATGTTTTCATCATTAATTACTCTATACATATGGGTGCATGGTTTGTGGGTTCTTCTTGTTGTGTTGAATAGGGTGTAAAAAAACAAGAAATGGGCAAATGGTCACTAAGATTCGACAGCAGAATACCCGCCTCTAGCTCATTCACTTGATAGTTCGTAAAGCACAGGTCAAGCAAGGTCTGAGACATTTTCTCACCCTGGTAGAGACAGGAATTAAATTTTCATGACCAAAAGAATACAAAAAAAAAATTAAGATCGAAGCCTTTGTTTGGCTGGATCTGTTTATAATACATCTGTATTAAAGTCACCAAAAACGATAGCACGTTTACCGACGTGCGCGCACCACTCCAGCATATTTTAAAGGAATTCTAAAAACGTGGCCACTGTACCCGAATATAGCCCCGAGAAGTTCGCGTGGCGCCCCCTTACGGCGAACCGTGGTGACGTCACGGCGAGGAGAGAATTTTTCCCCGACTCGTCCCGCTCGCCCTGTGGAGGCTGTGACGACGCTCGCTGTCGGAGCGCTCGTTTCTATTCAATTTTTTTGGGCGTGTTTTTCGCAGGAAGTGTAAATTTCTATATGTGCCTTTATTGAGGTATGGCCTGTAGCTACAGGCGAAACTTCAACCAACATTTTACGCAAGGTTGACAGGGAAGGCAATGCAGGAATCACAGCTGGCATAGGAAAATAAAGAAATATGGCCACAATTGCTGGAGCACCACTATAGATTTACATCTCGCACAATAAATGCTGCTGATGGCCTGAATGAATTGGCAGGTCATGTATACTTTTTTTGTTGTATCTCTGTTTTTAAACCAGATCGCCGAAGCAGAAAAGCTGCATGCTGCTCGAGCAACATGCTAAATACAGTCTGGGCCATGGGGAGAAAATCACAAGTAAGACAGCCCAAGTGCAGGGGCAAAGTAAAAAAACAAGGAACATTTATTATATACATTTCTCGCATTTCACCTTTGCTGGATTCGCATAGTATTTCAATGGACTACAGGGAAGGTATCTGTGGGCTTGTTTATATCAACCCTCAAGTAATGTATAACAAGCGTAAGCGAAGATGTCTAGCTCGTTATTAGTTCCTTAAGCCCTAAAATTGAGATTTTACTTAAATCGTATTGTCCTGAAGCTAAAATACCCGAAGCTTTTCTCACGCAGACTGTCGCCCTTCACATGATCCACATTTTCTGCTACTAGTGCTGCGTCTATACCACTGGACAGACGTTCGAATGCTTGCTTTTACTCCTGTTTTCCTCTGTTGTCAGCGAGTCCAGCTGTAGGGACAGTTTGGAGGCTGAGGAAGCTTTTGGGGACCTGCAGCAGTGTCTCTTTTAATTCGGAAATGACAATTCAGACTAAACGGTGTATTTTCCGAATACTCAAGGCTGAAATAAAGAGTGTCAGGAAAAAGTATAAACATTCCAAATTACGGCACTATTGCTGTGCATATTTTGGGCAGTTCAATACATATCATACAGGCCACTGGGGGCAATTCGGCCGTTTTTGCTGCTACCATACAAACTAATTTCCAGTAATTGTGCATCTCCTAAGAAATATGCCTGCATACGTGTATAAACTATATACTGTTAACGACTTAATTTTCGCGGGCTCAAATATTCGCGAATCGGGCCAAAGCTGAAGATTTGAAATTATTCGTGGGTTCTAATTTTTTGGCGAATCGATTGTAGCTTCCGTAGCGTTCACATATTGGCCGGATTGTTCGCGGGACGTATTTTTCGCGAAATTTAGTCGTTTACAGTAATTAATTCACAAGGAAGCTACATTTATGTAAAACGACCCTGTTCCACGAGCAAGTGAAAGATCATCAGACGCAGGGCCTTTAAAACATCTGCGAACCAGCGCATGCAGAGTGGCAGCGCAGAGTCGGCGTCGCGAGCTAATTTGCCGACCACCCAAAGGCCCATCATATAAATGCATCTTCAAATGCCTTGAAAGCGGGATGTAATATCGTCATAAATCATGAACATGCAAGGAACAGAATTCCAGCGTCTGAAACACTTACGCCACCGCTTCACCGACCCCTCGCAAGATTGCCTTGTGTCGTGTGGACGGACGGGGAGGTTCATCGGCAGAATCGCCTCCGCCGATAGCTTTCGGGATTCGTAACCCAATTTTAAAGGTAAAAGGGACAAGCGGGCTTATAAAATGTACAGAAGCACGTCGATATCGTCCTAACTCAACGTCTTGTACACCGGGTAACCGAAGTCCAGCTCCTCGAAGAGCTTGCGGCACACAACGCCAAACCAGGAAACCGGTGCTGGGAAGCGAGCCGATGCGAGATCGCGGAGCGGAGTCCTCCCCCTGACGTCACGGTACACTTCACCCAATCAGGGCGCGGCGACCGTAGCGACGCTTGTGTTCGCTCTCGGGGCTAATACACAACCACAAATATGGTACCCGCACACGTTACCATGAGAGACTCATAATGCGGGTTAATTATAGATAGGGTTCCGCGTTTTCGGTTTCTATTATTTCAAAATTTGGCGTACTTTTTTCGGTGTTTATTTTAGAATTCAATCTTCGTTTTTTTATGTTTTTTTTCGGTGTATATTTATGCCCAAAAAAGTTTATCGGCTTCTTCCGGTAAATTAAAATAAACACTAACGGACACCGGATCAGACGATCGCTGTAGCTTTGATATTGCGATCACTCAAAGAATAACTGCACAGATACATTGAAAAAGAAATCAACACTTTATTTGGAAAATGTGCGCAACTGTAAAAGAAACAACAAAAAAAGACGGAAGTATAAACAAGTCAGATATGAACCCTATGCTTAAAACACATGGAACGTCACCTTCTGTACATCGGGATTACGTGATCTTATTATAGTACACACACATGTACCTTCCCAGGTTTTCTTCGTTGATCCGCACTTTTTCTTTTTTGTTAATATGACCCTGAGCTTCGAGAATGCCCTCTCAACGCTAACACTGGACACTGACGGGCTGAGGAGATGAAGCGCTGCCCGAGCGAAAATCGGCCAATCAACCAGTCGTGACCTCCAAAAGAGACACGGTGCGACGTTTTGAAGCACAACACAACATGCAGAGCTTGCATCCAATCTTCCTTACAACGAGTTCGAAAACAGGCTCGTACATGGCGAAGTCATGGGGCATTTCGGACTTCACGTTCCGATCGATGATGCGCACATTGAACCATAACGTCATCATCGCCATTCGTGTATCCCATACATTC